ACACACACAGGCAGGCTTCTTCCAATATGCACCAACATGCACCTTCAGAAGCACAACCCCTGCACATCACCCACACACACATAACAACATAACATCAACTACATAAAACAATTATTATCTAGGCCCTCTTGAACTAAAACAAANAACCCTGAACAATTATTCGAAACCTCCATCTTCAGTTCTCGTCGATGATCTTCTTCAATCTTGAGTGTTCTGGTCGATGATCTTCTTCGTCTTGAGTGCTCTTTCTTGTCGACGATCTTCTTCCGTCTTCAATCCAGTGTGTACCGGAAACTCTTAACGCTGTCTCGCCCCCTTAACCTGGTGTGTACATGCCAGCACCAAGTCCCCGGTTCTTCATCGAATGTCTTCAGAGTCTCTAAACTCAGGTGTACATTCTCTTGCCGCGCAAGATCCAAGAACTTCACGGTGTGTGGGTTCTCCACGCTCTCTCCATCCTCCGCCACCATAATCACCTTCGCGATCTGCCATCCAAAATCGCGGGTTTTGAAATAAATGTAAGACCCGATAATATCAGTGCCATATAGGGTGGGCCGCTCACGCGTATCACAGCACACCTTAAACCCTTCAGGCACATGTCTTCCACCATTAAGCCTGGCCTCGGCTCTTTTTGCACATTGGGCACGGTATCTTCGGTACNTCGATCTTTCCCGTCCAATACCTCATAACGAAATTACCGTACTGTTTCAATTCCTCCTCGTGCTCCCAAGTGCACAGTTCGGTTTCGTCCCAATGTGTGTAATATTGAACCGCAATCTTTCCTGACAATCCTCGCACCAACCTATGCTTGGACATGTTCCATGGCACATTACGGTACGTGTCCAAGTTTATCTGCACGTCTTCACCCGTAAGATGGAAAGGAGGGGATAACTCAGAGTATTTGTTCAGAACATAATTACTCATGGCCCACGGTAAAAACCTTGGTTTGTCATCCCCTGAATGGGGGCTAAAACATTTCTTCACCCTCAATACTGATACCCGAGATGTTACGTCTTTTCCCGGTTCATCCTTTCGTACATCTAAGAGCACCAGTTTAGGCCCCAC